GTAAATATATTATCAGAAACGTTTCATAACTACTTTAAGAGTAGCTAGATGGTATGCACTACTAATAAATTTCCTTTGCTATGAATAGATCCATAAATTTGACTGATGAACCTCAAAGGAGTGTTATGAGCTTCGCAAGAGAGACTGAGTAGTACTTTATTTCAAAAGTACGTAGCTTGGTGGAATAGCACAGTCTGAACAGTTTATTCAGTGGAAGTTAGAGCACCAAAACCTGGCCATTCATGAATCAGGGTCAGATCAAGCCATCTTTTGACCTTAGTGGGAGTTTTGCCATTTGCTTCAATGAAAGTAAGATCAGGCTATCAATGSTTTAAAATGGTTCAGTAGGGAGTGTTATTGAAATGCTAATGTACATGTTCTCTTAATCTGAACTTCCCATCTTCCCATTCAGAGCTGTTTGTAGAGAGTTTTATTATGGGCTGCTACTCTGGGACCGGTGTTRGACAAAGATTTTTGCATCTTTGTTAGAGAAATATCCTGCAGAGCAGGGGAATACTGCTTCAAATTTTGAGAGAATAACTCTAAGCAAATCTAGTAGTTTGGCTTGAAAAGCAACCAAATCTTGCTGACCACCAAGACTGAACAAAGGTGAGGTTAACTATGCTGTGGAGYAGAGCATGTTCACCTGACAGTGTGAGCTGGCCTGGTTGGTGTCATGAAAGCCTTTCGGGTATTCAATTGCCAGGTGATGCTACTTGCAATGGTTTCAAATAACACCTAAAATTACTAGAGCTGCAAAAGGCTTGTGTAGAGAAAACAGAAGTTTGAGCTCATGTAACTTAGTGCTGGCTCAATTTTATTCTTTGTAGATCAAATGACATCAACACAAATGAGTGGATAAGCCAATAAAGGCTCCATTTCATTAAAAATCAAGCCATGCCTCTCTTCCTCCTGCCTACCACAAACCCCCTTCCTATTGCAAATGCCTGGCTTTCTCTTCCTMCTCACCAGCAACAGTAATTACTAACACCAAACCAGTTTCACTGGGGAGTAGACATAACCTGTTCAGCTTGCTTGAGATCTTGAAAAGCAGTCTGGAGCTTTCAGCTGCAGCCAGCAGACCAGCCTGAATACTWCTTCTGAGCCCAGTCCGGAGTGGACACATTTACACACAGCTGGTGGCTTGCCCAGCCAGGAAATGCACACCTTCTGACTGGTGGCTTTGAGGCAAAGTGTTGCCTCAGCCTCTGAGTGGGACAGATGTCAGCATCACTCTCATTGGGAAAAAAAACCAAAAACCCAAGGGAATTATTTGGTAGAGATGTGTTATACAGACCCATCTCAGGTATTTCCCAGTGCTCTTTGAATACAGCAGCCAAGATAAAAGAAAACAAAACAATGCCTACCCCCCACCCAAAAAAAMCCCAAACCAACACCCAACAACAACAAMAAAAAAATTAAAATCCAGTTGCAATCACTTCATGGGGTAGTGATGGGAGACGAGCTAAATGTATCAGCTCAAACTCTGACTCTTTCCCTACTAGGTATTGATTCATTYKCATCACTGGAATATCATAGGGCTCTGCTGTTCKAGTTWCAGTAACAGTCTGTTACTATTGCATATGGCAATGGTTACAAATTTAACCTTTGTTCTGGGTATGTAGYAAGCTAATTAAAAAGGTAGCTTGTTCATTGTTATTAAAACACTAATAATAATATCTCTTATTTCCCTATCAGTRGGGAATTAATTGCCAAGGACATTGCAAGTCACAGTGCCACCCACACATTTTTTCAGGTGCCAGAAGTTGCATCCTTACTGTAATATAAAAGACACAATCTTGATTAGTTTCCCCAAACTATCCATATTGTTTAGTTTTTAACCTGCTTTCTGGCATRGGTTTGACCTTGCTCCTCAKATGTGTYCTAGACACAGCTTGGGAAGGAGTAKGGCCAATATCCTGCTATTGGCTGCTGAATGGCTGAGGTTGCCATGCTCGAGGTTGGCAGGGAGGCAGAAGAAGCCAAACAGAAAGTGTGACAACTGTGAGTTCACATTTATTCTTGAAAACAGAGAATTATCCCTAGATAGGTTCTTTTACTTGATTAGATTTAAATTCCCACAGTCACGAGATTTGTAATTTCCATTAGAACAAATTAGARCAAATTCAATACCAATAATGCTCTGGAAAGTAGAAGGAGATACAGAGGTCAGAAGAGCTTTCCCAGGTTTATTAAAATAAACATATTCATGCTGCCTATACTCGCTTTCTTTACTTTTGGCCACAAGTTACTTTGTGCAGGTGAAGAGGACTTAAGTGCAGAAAGTCATTGTATAACTCTAGAGGATGCAAAAGATCCTGGATGGCCCTGGGTCACAGTGTGGTTTAGAAGAGAGATGACATTTCATGCACTTCAATTCAGTATACATTATTAAACTGCAAATATTGTTTGGGAGACATWTGGGTGTACTGAGCACTTTTCCAGGTGATCCATATATACCTGTGTGCTTACAYCTGTGATTATAGATCAGTGTCTTTMAYRATCATTTGTTTTAGATGCTGTTTGAAGTAATTTTCCTAGTAGCACAACCCTTCCTAAGATCCAGCACGAATCCAAGGGCCTGAGTGGAGCGTTACTTCAACTCTTATTAAAAYACTGCTTGCAAGAACTGCAAGCCTTTGTGCTTGTCTTGGAAAACTCCCCAYTGAGTAACTTCACTGAGCAGGATTAGTCCTGCTTAGTTTGTGAGATCCAGCACGATCACAGCTGTCATGATATTGCACCTAGCCAAGAGAACAAAGCGACTACATCTTGCATTTACGCCTACTTGGAAAAAGGAAAAGAAAAGAAAAAGAAAAAAAGAAAAACAAAGAAAAAGAAAAAGAAAAAGAAAAAGAAAAAGAAAAAGAAAAAGAAAAAGAAAAAGAAAAAGAAAAAGAAAAAGAAAAAGAAAGAAGAAAAAAAGAAAAAAAGAAAAAAAATTAAAAAAAAGAAAAAGCAAGTGAACTAATTGAGCAGGGTTTTTTTTTCCAGGGATTTTTCCCCCTCTTTATAATTAACTACACTTTGTTCACCATTTTGAGGGGAGTTATTTTTAACTTTGGTTGAAACTCTTTTGTACAGAAGTCTGTGYTATATGAATTCCAGGTTTTGTTAGCAGTGGATTCAGTTGTGGGAGTCTCTGACCTTATGATACTACCATGTTTCTGCTAAACAAAGTCCAGTATGCCAAACAAAGATGTAGCAAGTAGTTACGAAATGGCACGGCTATTACATATGCTTTTGATTCTCATTGTCTGGTGTTTATTTTGGGATAATTCTGTTTTGAGAGTGGAAAAACCAGACTGTAAATAAAAGGGAGGCCTATGATAAACGCATTATGCTACACACTTCTCAAAAGCTAATGGAGGGCTCTTCAGTGAGTGCCTAGGAAATAGGAAAATTATTTTCAACAGTGAAAGAAAAAGGTAAGAATATTATGGAGCACCCTGACAAGTCAGAAAAATAATTATTCACCCACTTGCGCAAAGCCTGAGTAATTTGCTGTTGCAGCTCACAGTCTGTGTTTTTTCCCTCCTATGTAAGGTTTCTAGGTCACCGCCTCTGGTGTTGTTCTAAACCACGCAGCTCCACTCCCAGCATACCTCCCTCSTGCTGGACAGTGGGACAATCTCTGTCCCCAATCAGGAGATATTGGGTTAGCTGKTACTGCATTTCCACTCCTGACTTCTCTCCTRTRTTGCCYCACCCATGAAAACAGATGATAGGRAAGGAAAGAAGGAMGGGAACAGGTCAGACTGAAGGTCAAATGARCCCAAAGACCTAAAAGAGTGTAATACTARTATTCCAAAATCATAGTCCAAGAGATACTAACACCATTTTAAGATGAAACTTGTGTTAGTGAYGTAGATTCAGCCCTTAGACCCAGAAAATATAATCTAAGTTATCTACTTGTAGTTTTATAGCTCTATAAATCTTTAAGGAAAAATTCTGTCCTTCTACACATGTAAGACTCCACTTACTCCAAGGGGAGTTGCACTCATATATCAGAGGGTAAAATCTGGTTATATTTTCTAGATAGCAATAGGAAAAATGGGAGGTCTTTCACTTTTAAAAACATTTACTGTATCCTAGCAATGTGCGGTGATGCTATGCGAGCCTGACAACAGACAAATGGCATTGAGAGATATTAAACCTTAGAGAAGACAATGTGATAATCTTTGGAAGTCTGTAGGTAAAGCAAATTTCAAACATTGTCTTGATTCTAGGCACAGTGGAACTAAGATAATATGGAAGGAAATATCTGAAAGCCTTGTGTTGAGGTTGATGGAAGCCTCAAGAAAATTTGGTAGTCCAGAAATATAGACAGGGAAATAAGGAGAAGCAAACATTTTGTTCTCAAGGTTTTGTAACTCAAAAAAATTATATCTACCTTTTTTTTTTACCATGTGTAGGCTGTGTTTGTAAAATCTTAGTTTGCAATTGTTGCTTTACAGCTTAGAGCTTAAGTGATTTTAAAGTACTTAAAAGCAACAACTAAACTCTCTGCGTAAGCAAATAAAGTATGAATCAGCTGTTTAATTCTCTGGGATAAAAAATTAAAGCAACAGGAAGAAATGTACTAAATGAACAGCTTTATGATCTTGTTAGCTACAAAGTATAGCTAATTAGAGAAAACATTCTGAATTTAAACTTTGTTGGAATGAGAAATTGTTATTCACAAAGGCACAGTATGGCTGTGCAGGCAGCCTGCCACTATTTATGATGCTGAGTTGACTCGAATAAGTTGTGCAACTATAGAGGAAGAGAAATAGATGGGAGTCTGAAGATGACATCCACTGCTGGCTTCCATAATCTCATCTTCTTTCAGCCATATTTAACTATTTACAGAAATATGAATTGCAAACAGTGTAAAAGGAAAATGGTAGTGCTCGTAGGTTTTCTACAGAAACTTTAAACAAATTCATTTCCATCTCCTAAAGTACCATAGGATTTGTTCTTACTTTTTATGACAAGGCTCTGCCTTTTCAACAACTTACCTTCATCCAGTTATGAGAACTACATTTTGGTCAGTATTTATCGTTGTGCATTAGGCGCTTTATCAAAATCTTTCAAACGAAATGTCTCCCAAAGAAATGTGCTAAGAGGTATGAATAAAAAYTTGAAAAATATCAGACAGGAAAAGACTTATTTATACACAGTTCCTATAAAGGCAGCATCTTAGTACATCTTAATGTTTGTTGCCTTGCATACCTCTGACTTGACAGCATCATTCTCTGGAGCATGGCTGTAGAGATGAAGTGAAGGACCAAATTTCCAGAGAGAATTGCTGCACATCCAGCTGTGGTGGCAGGACACTGTGCTTGCCCCTTTGGTCAGAG